ATCCATTCATCCAAAAATGGACCTCATCGCTAAAGATAATTTGTTTGGCGAAATTTGGATTAACTTCCAATTGCTTCAAAACCCAATCAACAAACACACGGCTATTGTCTATGGTCGTTTACTTTAAGTTCCTGGGTCAGTTGAATTTTATAAGGGTGCAGATCCAAGTCCCGACGCAAACTTCGCCAAGTTGAAGTCGCAGAAAGGCCAAGTTCTTGTGAACGACGAGAAATTGACCGTCTCGAGTTTTCCCGTACACTCTTACACACAGCCGCGATGTTTTCAGCAGACCTTGCATTTCGGCGATATACTGATGTTGGATGATTATTTATCGAACCGGTTGACTCGAATTTGGCTACCAAATGTCGAATAGTCGACTCGGCAGGACGGTTATGGCGAGGATAAAAATCACGTAATGCGGAACGTTTCTCGAACGGAGCACTAACGATATGCGTCGTCGACCAGAATAGACGACGACGCGTATCGTTCGATCCGTAATTTTCAGAGAGAGGAAACCACCGTCAGATTGCGACAGCAACAGCAATAACGCGAGCGTGAGATTCTCGTACGGAGCGAAGCGCTCGCAGAGAGATAACGCATTCTTTACAAGGCCGCCACTAATACCAGGTATGTAAATATGAAATCGGAATTTTTTAATAGAAAATACACGTTTATTGCATGAAAATGATAAAAAATATTTTATTCGAAGTATTGCCCATCGGTAGCTATACATTTTTTCTACCTGTTTGACAATTTGTGGATGCCACGCCAAAAAATGTTGCTCTTTCGAGCCAAACCAGTCATCTAGTCATTTTCGTAAGAAGTGAAGCGCTGCTGAGCAAGTGCGTGTTCCATCGATGCAAATAAGTGATAATCGGACGGAGCCAAGTCTGGTGAGTAAGCCGCATGCGAAAGTATTTCCCAACCAAATGCCTCAATCGTTTCCTTGACCAGTTTTGCTGTGTGTGATGGTGCATTATTATGAAGCAAAATCACTTTGTGTTGCTTTTTTTGATATTCCGGTCGTTTTTCACACAAAGCTTGATTCAAATTGATCATTTGTTGTCGATAGCGTATTAACGGTTTCGCAGCTCATAATAGATCACACCTAATCCCACCAAACAGACCATTGTCTTCCGTCCATAGCGATTTGGCCTTACAGTCGATGTCGATGATTCGCCTGGAGTTACCCATGATCTTTTACGTTTAGGATTTTCAAAATATATCCATTTTTCATCGCCAGTCACAATTCGATGGAGAAATGACTTTCTTTTGCACCTGACGAGCATTTCGCAAGTGATTTTTCGGTTTTCCTGCTGTCTTTCATTGAGTTCATGTGGAACCCATTTTCCCATCTTCTGGATCTTTCCCATGGATTTCAAACGTATGGAGACGGCTTCTCGTGTCATGCAATTGATCCACGAGTTGTTGATGAGTTTGAGCGTCATCTTCATCCAACAATGCTTGCAATTCGCTGTCTTCAAATTTTTTCGGTGATTTTTCACGTTCTTCGTTTCTCATGTCAAAATCGCCACTTTTGAATTTTTTAAACCACTCGAAACACTGTGATTTACCAAGAGCATGCTCACCGTAAGCTTCGACAAGCATTCGATGCATTCTGCAGCAGTTTTCTTCAAATGATAATAGAAAATTAATGCTGTCCGCAAATCGTAGTTTCCAGGCACAAAATTCGACATGTTCAACGCTATTACAAACTATACTGCTGTATGAAACTTATATTGTTGTGAGTTGAAAATTTATCAGATGTCAGAACAAGGAAATGGCGCTGTCTGATGGCAACTACATTGACAGCTATGGCCATCTATTGATAAATTCCGATTTCATATTTACATACCTGGTAAAAAGATAAAAAAATTGGAGTGAGGTGCAGTCTCAAAAAATTGTCATACGTTTGTGGATCTGCAAGGATTCATCATTAAGAAAAATTTTATCACGAAGAAAGTGGCGGTGTTGAAACAGGAAATACGCATTACATTTTTACGAGTCCCGTGGTCATGGAAATTTTTGAGAAGTTTCGACAGGTCTTGCGCTTCCTGGTTAATTGCTTATCAACTAAAATTGCGATGGGAAGACGGGAGGATTCCGTACAGCGAGGCGAAAAGCCTGACTACGGCAGCTATATTTGAAGATGATGCTATTATATATGTCAAGAGACGCGAGAAACGAACATAGCTGTGGAACTTTCTTCTGGATGATGAGTGAGAACGCATGTACATCGAGACTTCGTAGTTTACGAAGACATGGAATTTTTATCTAATTTAGATATTACTAATATTATGCGAAGTGGACATGTTAAGAATTGCGCGTACAAAATGTATTGAAAATATATAACTGGTGGTTGCAAAATTTTTTTAAAATGAACTTACATTAACGTATTTATTACGTATTTCTTTCTTCCTTCCTTTATAATATATATACATATATATATAATTTTTGGAAATTGGAATCTACTGATCCTTCTAGTTATGTCAAGATCGCCCTGGGAGATTATCGCGGACACGAATTGTCGCTATCTCTCGAAATGTGGAAGGGTCTCTGAGCAGCGATGGAATATTTACAAAATGCTTCGAAATGAATACAAAGACAATTTCATAAGCGTTGGACTATTAACAGTCAGAGTTTGCACGCTGAACGATGTTGCGCTCGTACGTCTCGATTCTTCGTCCGTATGCATGACCGAAACGTGCGACGTACGCTGTATGTTCGAGTTTGATGGATATATCGATATAACATTTGAACGATTAACCCGACTCGTCGATATTGTTGATACGCGATTCTTGAATATCGCGTCTAATGTTATACGCGATAGCGACAACTTCAGTGGACAGCTCGTCGGTTGTCAGCTGTTAGCTTTAATTTTTAGTATGTATAAAAAATCAGTAATATTAGGTATACAACTTTGTTTCCGCCGTTTTCCTATAGATGGCTTTAGCGGTAAGTGGTGGTCGAAATAAATAGATCATAGACGTCATATAATAAACTTGGGCATCTGTCAACATAACCCCATAGAAACATTAGTCGATTTGTGTCTGCATAAAGTTATTCTCGATTGAAAATGTCAGTTTACGAGCCAAATTCTCGTCATTTGCGGGAGATTTTAATTTTTTGCTTCAATATGAAGAAATCTGCGGCTGAGGCTTATCGAATGCTCTCAATACTATGGTGAGGCCGCTATTAATGAAAGAACGTGTCGTGAGTGGTTTCAACGTTTCAAGAACGGTGATTTTGACGTTCAAGGTCATGCTCTGTATTTGGTGGGACCAGCTCGGCGTAGTGTATTATGAACTGTTAAAACTGACTGAAACAATCACAGGCGA